AACATCTTGATATGCTTTACGTGATTTTTTGCCTTCAGTCTTTATTTACATTTGTTACTCACTAAGTTGGAGTACTCACTTTACTCCCTGCACTCCTGTGTGCAGATTCAGGCGTTGTTGGTACCGCTCCTGAGTGCTATACCTCCAGCTTCAGGCGGGCTTTCGGAGATTTCGAGGTAGCTGTTGACGTCTGCAGCCCCGTGTCTCTACTCCCTTATCATCTCTATCTCTTTTCAGACATCTGTACTATCTTATAGACTTAGCAGACTTGTAGTATGAATTATAGACGCTCATGACTAGTGACACCCCGGTTAGGGCTGTGTTGGGCTGGATTTCCGCATTGTTATCTATATTCCCGCTATTTAGTATTGTTTAAATCATGTTTAGACTATTTTTATGTTGATTAACTGCTTTAAAAGTTGAGTTAGGTTGAACTGGCTGGCCTTGTCTTCACGAAAGGCGCCATCACGACTGGGTTCGGGGTTAGGGTCGTGACATCTATTGAGCCCATAAATGTGCATAACTATTGGATATGATATATTCGATTATGGAAGTACAAATCCAAAGATGCCCACTCTTGCTGAAAGGGAAGATTTTGATTGATATGGCCACTACGAGGAAAATAATAAGAGTAATTAACTTGATATAATTGATAAATTACACCAAAAGTGCAGAACATCTTTACTTTCACACTGTAAATAATTTAGCTCCGTTTTAAACTCAATATTGTTTGAGAAAACTAATTGGAAATGTACGAGCAAACTGGATATCATATCTCTATGCAATAAAAGTTCCGGTAAGTTTGAAATTAAGATTCGACTACCTAGTTATATACAACTACAATATCATACCACTTAAATATAATTTTTATACATATTTTACATAATACGTTTTCTGTATATTTTCTATCTGATTTATACATAGTAAATATAAATTTCATACAACTAATTATATATAATACAATTTATCTACAATTTTCATATATTATTTCTACCTAGTTATATACAACTACAATATCATACAACTTAAATATATTTTTTATACAATATTATTCAGCTTTCATGCAATGTTTCAATAAAAAAAAATATAAATAATATAATACAATTTTTCTACAATTTTACTACAATTTCTGCAGTATAATGTATGACATGTTTTCTTCTTCTTCTTCTTCTTCTTCTTCTTCTTCTTCTTCTTCCAATCTGAAATTCAGTCAAAATCAAGTCTAATCTTCACCAAAACATCCTTAAAATTGAGATATAAACTCCAAACCATATTTTCAATTGTTTGCAACAGTACCCAATCCAAACAAATAATAATTTTTGAAAACCCAAATTGGAATTCAAAGCTTCAAAGCTTTTTAATGGCTGTCAATGGTAGAATTGATGCTATCTTTTTCTTTGCTTTACATTACTGGAATTAGGGATTGGGAGATAGAGAGAGACGTAGAGTGAATTCCCAATTATTTGCAATAACACTCAATTCAAACAAATAATGTTTTTTGAAAACCCAAATTCGAATTCAAAGCTTTAAAGCTTTTTAATGACTGTCAATAGTAGAATTGATGCTCTCTTTTCCTTTGCTCTACATTACTAGAATTAGGGATTGAGACGTAGAGCGAGAAAGATCACAGGAGAGGGAGCGCAGGAGAGAGACGGAGAGAGACATGAGGGAGAGAGAATAAGGATGAGAAATAATTGATTCCTAATATAAAGGGATACTCATTTAATTTTTAAAATATGTATAATTAGTAAATTTATATATAGGAAGTAATTAAATTAAAACTTGAGTAGGAAGAGTAATAAGATTTCCACTAATATATAGGCATGTAAAAATCCTTTTTTTTATTACGTTACATTGATTACGTTATCACTTGGCTTCCAATCAAACGCCTTATAGTATTCCGTGGGCATTGAATAGTTGGAGGGTATTATGGTAACGTCATACAAACCGTAGATGTCAGTGAATCCATACCAAACGTCCCTGCAGTGCAGGCAACACACTTGCACAACACAAGTCCGCCTTTCCCCCCCTTCTCTCTCTCTCGCGCTCTCTCTCTCTCTAGGGTTAGGGTTTCTTAACGGCGTTATATTTGAACCCTTGAGAGATCAAATAATGGTGCAGCAAATCCCCTTTTTGTGTGAAAAGCTCTTTAATTCAATCCGTCTTCACTCCTTCAGCTCAACTATGGCTTGATTCTGCTCTTCTCTCGGTAACTTTTTATTTTATATTTTGAATTCAGTTTTACGGTGTGCTTCAATTGGTGTTTTTATCTTCTTCTGTGGAAATTGGCTATTTTAAAACTTTCTGCATTTAAGAATATTAAGTTCCAAAATATATGTATTTGCTTATTGCTTTATTCTTAAGTTGCTTTACCATTAAGTCATTTTGAAATCTGGGTGTCGAACTTTGTTATTTTTTCACTTGTGCTTATTTGATCATTGGAGTGCTGCTGACATTTTGAACTGATTAATTTTCGACTCCATTTTTGTGCTTTTGTTAAGAAAGATGTGTTTTTCCTTTCGTTTTATCAATTAGTCAAGGTCGTGGATGACTTGAATAATTTTGCAACTTGAATTGTGTGTGGCCATACTGGTGTACTGGAGATTGATAAGCAAATTGTGTTTAAATTTTGAAAAGAAAGAATGGTATTCTCTCCTCCCTGCATTTTGTTTTATTTTGAAACTACACTGTCAGATTGGCACAACTTTTATGCATTCTATTTCTGGTGAAGGTGGCATTCCCGATACGGAAATGTATAATGTTCCTGAACAAGGACATGCAGATGCTTATATGGTAAAGTTTGGGGCTACTGATCACTAATGGACTTTCTTAAGCATCTTTGCCTTTAACATGTTTTATTCTTGAATGTGGTGTTTTGTAATGATAGAAGATTGAATCCTTCTTTTAACAGATTCAAGGAACGGAGCCAATGCAGATCACCAGTCCGCTGCTTCAAAACTTTGAAACTATGTACAATGAAGAACTGCGCGAGTTTGTTGTTGATCAGGGATTATATTATCCTACTACCACCAATTATGGCTACCTCTGTACAGGTACAGGATTGCGTAAATTTCATTTGAGATGACATTGATTGCCTCAATACACTCAATTAGAATTATTTGACTTTGTTAGGATTTGAATCGCCCAGCGATTGGGATGACCACCAAAGAATTTTTGGTCTGGATGGTCAAGATATTCAGTATATGGTTAGTTCATTCTCAGTTTTATGTCTTATTAAAAAATAATTTCTTCAATTTTCCTGTGGTCTCTTTCTTAATTGTATTTGCTAACATCGTGTTTATTTCCATTTCAGGGTGCACCAAATGAAAATCTCCCATATATGTATTATACACCTAACTATGGATATGCACAGTCTCTGTTCAACCCATACAACCCTTACATCCCTGGTGCTGTAGCAGGGGTTGATGGCTCATATTTAGGAGCACAACAGTACTATGCTATCCCATCATATGAAACCAGTGTGTCTTCTCCTTCGTACTTCCCCGTGGTGCTACCGAGTACATCTGACGTTATGGTGAACAGAGCAGACACGATAGTTGAGAGTACTCTATCTACTGCTAATAGAGCTAATAGAGCCGATGTTTCTCGTCTCAAGCATAATTTGTCTTCAGCATCTCCAACCTTCACCCCAGCTCCATTAAAGCTGGCTTCAGGTCATAATAGTTTTAACAAAGGATCTGGAATTGCAAAATCTAGTGGTAGATCAGGCAAGCAGCCCATGATGCATGGAAATGTTGCTTCTGATAGGTTCTCTATTCAATCCTCGGAAGTACATGCTGTAAGGATTTGTCCTAGTTAGTGATATTTCCAGTATTGTGTTTTGGCTTTTAAAAGGGAGGGCATTCCCATAGATTTATCTGTGTTGTGGAAGCTGAATATATAGAGAGTGATTGAATCACAACTACTATATCTAAATGGTAGCTAATCAATAGTAAATGAGACAATAATAAAAAGGAACACCAGAAGTTTACGAGGTTCGACAAAATTTGATTTTCTGCCTAGTCCTCGGATACAATCAACTCAAACTTTATTTCACTCCAAAAAATACAAGTGAAATATTACAAGAGAGAAAGAAGACTCAAATGCCTTAGGAGATAAGAAGGCAAGTGAGAGGTGTTTACAAATGAACAAAACCGTTGCTATTTATAGAAGGGAAATGGCCTTAATAATCTCATGCATGACATCACATAAACTGTGATCATACAATGTAAATGCATGAAAAATGCATCTACCAATTTCCTCCTAAAAGGAGGCTTCCAAATGTTCACACTAGTTTACATTAATCTTACCAAATTTAACAAATCTCCACCTTGGCAAGATTCCACTCTTTCAATTTTCTCTAACTAATAAATTTTGATTGTTGTCAACTTCAATCTTCAAAGTTCAACAATGTTGTCAAGTTCAAACAATGTTGAAACTTGATCGCAGTCATCATTTTTGTTAGCATATCGGCTGAATTGTCTGTAGTCCGAATTTTTTGCACCATGACTCCACCTTCTATAATATCTCGTATAAGTGATATCGAACATCAATGTGCTTTGTCCTTGCGTGATAAACTTGGTTCTTTGCTAATTGGATAGCACTTTGACTATCACAAAATAGTGTGATGTTTTCTTGATCAATACCAAGCTCTCTAAGCAACCCTTGAAGCTAAGTTGCCTCCTTTACAGCCTCCGTAATTGCCATGTACTCTGCCTCATTAGTAGACAAAGCAATCGTTGACTGCAAAGTAAGCTTCCAACTAACAGGTGCATTTGCAAAAGCGAAAACATAACCAATAGTTGATCTATACTTGTCCAAATTACCTGCATAATCTGAGTCACAATATCCAACCAGATACCAGCTATCTTCCTGCTCAAAAATCAGTCCAATATCTATAGTATTACGAATATACCGTAGAATCCATTTCACATCTTGCCAATGCTCCTTTCCTAGATCATGCACATACCTGCTTACAACTCTGATAGAATGTGAAATATCAGGTCTTGTGCAAACCATTGCATACATCAAGCTACCAACGACATTTACATATGGTACTCTTGACATATACTCTCGTCCAGCTTCATTCTTCGGCGACATAGCAACAATAAGCTTAAAGCGAGGAGCAAGCGAAGTGCTAACCGACTTCGTGTTCTCATTCATGCCAAATCGATTTATTACTCTCTTCAAGTATTCTTTCTGAGATAGACAGAGTTTCTTTGAATGTCTATCTCTTTTTATCTCTATGCTCAGAATTTTCTTCGCCTCACCCGAGTCCTTCATCTCAAACTCCTTTTTTAGTTGAGTCTTCAACTTCTCAATTTCCTCTTGACTTTTGGAAGCTATCAACATATCATCAATGTATATGAGAAGATATATGAAAGATCCGTTTTCAAGCTTGCGCAGAAACACACAATGAACGTATTTGCTTCTTCTGTACTTGTGCCGCAACATAAATTTATCAAATCGTTTGTACCATTGTCTAGAAGAATGTTTCAATTCGCACAACGATTTTTCAAGTTTGCACACCATATTTTCCTTTCCAACAACTTTGAATCCTTCTGGCTGAGTCATATAGATTTCCTCTTTCAAGTCTCCATGTAAAAATACAGTTTTTACATCTAACTGAACTAGTTTCAAATTCAACTGTGCTACCAAAGCCAACAAAATTCTAATGGAGGAGTGTTTCACGACCGGAGAAAACACCTCATTATAATCAATTCCCTCCTTTTGAGCGTATCCTTTGGCCACCAATCTTGCTTTGTAGAGAACATCTTCTTGGTTAGGAAATCCTTCTTTTCTTTGCAAATACCCATCTGCACCCAATTGCTTTCTTTCCCTTCGGGAGATTGGTCAATTTTCATGTGCGATTCTAATGAAGGGACTGCATTTCTTCATTCATGGCAATCCTCCACTTATCTTTTTCCGATTGGATTGCATCTTTATAAGTGGTAGGAACACCATCAGCTACAATTGAGGCTTCACAAGCCACCATCTTTATGAGACGAGCAGGTTTCTTTATTGTTCTTTTGGGCTTGCTGGTTGCTATTGACTGAAGTTGTTGTTGAGGTTCCTGAGTTGGAATCTCCCTCTCCACTGGCTCTTCTTCCAGAGAAAAATCTTCTGTTGTTTCCTCGTTTTCTCCATGTGTTGGAAAAATTAATTTTCTCTCGAACTCCACCTGCTTTGAAGCACCAACAGTTTGTTTGACATCTTCAACTGTTGCCTTATCTGTTATGGCAGACTGAATATAATTTTTCTTGTCTCTAGACACCATAAGCGGTATCCTTTGACTCCAGAAGTAATCCCCATAAATATAGCTTTCTTTGCTCTCGGATCCAATTTTGATTCTTTCACATGATAATATGCAATTGAGCCAAATACATGCAAAAAACTATAATCTTCAGTAGGTTTTTCATACCATTTTTCAAATGGAGTTCTGCAACCAATAGTGGCAGATGGTAGACGATTAATGAAGTGGCATGCATATGTTATTGCCTTAGCCCAAAATTCTTTGCCTTAGCCAGTATTGGATAACATACACCGAACCTTCTCCAGCAAAGTTCGATTCATACATTCTGCCACTCCATTCTGTTGTGGTGTATTTCTGACGGTGAAATGTCTCAAAATGCTATCATCTTCACAAATCTTATTGAATAGATCATTTTTGTAGTCTTAACCGTTGTCTGAGCGAAAACACTTTATCTTTCTGCCTTCTCTATCATCGCCTTCCATTTGAGAAATATTCCCAACACCTCATCTTTGGTTTTCATCGTATACACCCACACTCTCTGGGAAAAGTCATCAATAAAGGTTACAAAATAGTGTTTTCCACCTAATGAAAGTGTTTTGGAAGCACCCCAAACATCAGAACGAACATAATCCAAAATACCTTTAGTATTATGGATAGCTCTTCCAAATTTAACTCTTTGTCTGTGTCCCCTTGATACAATGCTCACAAAACTCCAAATTACAAGTCTTTACTCCTTTTAGTAATCTTTGATCTGATAAAATTTTCAAGGATTTTCCTCTAACATGTCCCACGTACATGTGCCATAGCTTGGTTGCTTCTGCCTCCTTGTCATCAGTGGATGTCATTGTCACTGTCTCAATAACTGTACTACCGTGATAGTGGTACATGTTATTGTTTCTCCGAATTCCTTTCATTACCACCAGTGCACTGGAGCAAATTGGTCCGGCAGGTCGGACCAATTTGTTAAATTTGACAAGATTAATTTGAACTAGTGTGAACATTTGGAAGTCTCCTTTTAGGAGGAAATTGGTAGATGCATTTTTCATGCATTTACATTGCATGATCACACTGATGTCATGCATGACATTATTAAGGTCATTTCCCTTCTATAAGTAGCAAGAGCTTTGTTCATGTATAAACACCTCTCACATCCTTCTTATCTCCTAAGGCATTTGAGTGTTCTTTCTCTCTTGTAGTATTTCACTTGTATTTTTGGAGTGAAATAAAGTTTGAGTTGATTGTGTCCGAGGACTAGGCAGAAAATCAAATTTTGCCGAACCTCGTAAACTTTTGGTGTTCCTTTTTATTATTGTCTCATTTATTATTTATTAGCTACCATTTAGATATAGTAGTTGTGATTTAATCACTCTCTATATATTAGGCTTCCGCAATTTGTGAATTTATTATTTTTTCTTTCTGCTTTAATGGAAGTGTGGCCCATGGATCGCTTCCTAAGTTCATATCTTAATCCTTGGACAGGGTAAACTTTCTCAAGCTACAGGATGTGTAATGCATGGGAAGGCTTTGTCTAATCATGTTCAACTGAGAGCTTCTGTTCCTTTGAGTGGCTCGTTTAATCTTGGATCTGATGCTCATGAGCGAGCTAGTGCAGGAAAAGGTGGATCCAAGTTTCTGTATGGGACAGTGCCAAATGATGTGAAAGTTAGTTCTGATTCATTGAACGAGCAGAATCGAGGACCTAGGACCAATAAATCAGAAAATCAATTGGTTGTTAAGGCCTACACGACAAGAGCAGGAAATGTTAATGCACAAGGGAATATTGTAATTCATGCTGATGAGTACAATAGAGATGATTTTGTGCTGGATCTTTTGAATGCTAAGTTCTTTGTTATTAAATCATATAGCGAGGATGATGTGCATAAGAGTATGAAATACAATGTTTGGTCATCTACACCTAATGGAAACAAAAAGCTCAATAGCGCTTTCGAAGATGCTCAGAGAATTGCTGCTGGAAATCCAAGAGGCTGCCCAGTATTCCTCTTTTTCTCGGTGAGTGATTACTACTCCCAAGTTTGGTCAGTTTTTAAGCATGTAGCAAAGCTATGATTATTCAATTGTCTGCTTGATGCAAAGATCTTTTCATTGTTCAAATAAATTGACTAAATTGGTTTGGTTTTTAAATATGAAATGAAGGTGAATGCTAGTGGGCAGTTTTGTGGTGTTGCGGAAATGACTGGCCCTGTAAACTTCTGTAAGGACATGGATTTTTGGCAGCAAGATAAGTGGTCTGGTAGCTTCCCTGTGAAGTGGCACATGATAAAGGATGTCCCAAATCATAACTTTAGGCATATTATATTAGAGAACAATGAGAACAAGCCAGTGACTAACAGCAGGGACACACAAGAGGTTTGTTACTTATTTGGCGTACTGTGATTCTTATTTTTTTAACTCTTGTGTTTCTATTGATATGCTGTCCTGTAATTCGTTTTCTATTGGTTGACCCGGAAATATTAAGTTGGTCGACTATGTGAACATCTTTAGGAAGTTTATTAAAGCCATATTCAAGGAACTGCAGTTCCATAAATTTGCATAGGGGCTTCCAAGGAGGTGCTTCTCCCTAAAAAGTATTGGATATTGGCTTTGCTCATATATTTTCTCATGATTCAGTGCTGCAGCATTTACTTGTTTTCTTTAGTCTTTCTCTTGTTTCTTTATGCAGTGCTTATGTGGAAAGATTATCTTCATAAGCGAATGTAATTACATGAAAATTCAAATATTCTTGGTTGTCCTGGTAGATAAGAAAAATAGGCGGGAATACACTGACGAAGTCATCTAGGATGGGCCTGAATGCCTGATTAACTGAGTGCAGGATATTTTGTTACCAACTAATTTCTACATTTTGGATGGTTTTTTGGAAAATGTTTTATTGTCCCAATGAAACTGGCCTTTTTCCCCAAAAAACTTGACCTCTTTTCTTGAATTATTAAAATTTGTCTAACAATTCGAACAAATATAAACTAATACTGCGTTATATTACTCTAACTTGATTTGATATCCTATCAGCTAGCTGTTTCACTTTCCACGAACATTTTTCTTCCAAACTCATTATAACTGGTTGTTTATTCAATTACTCAGTCTATTTATCAGGATGGACAAGGTTTCATGGTACCAACAAATACCTTCTGCAGAATATGCCTTTTTGTTGTACTTGTTAGTTGTTACAAAAATGGATAGAATTCAGTCCTCTAGACATGCAAATAATCCATGAACCCCAGTACATGATCTAATGCATCAATAGCTTTTTTGTTACACCAAAAATACAAGTTTTGTGACATTTGAACTTCAGCAAAGACAAGGGTGACAACTTATCCTCAAAACTTCTACTATTCCTCTCTATCACAAGTTGCCCTAAGTATGCATTGTGAAATACTTTTTCTATAAGTTCTTATGCTCTTCTCCATTGTTCAACTCAAATCGCCATGATAAATTTTCATATTTCCATGTATATATGCATAGAAGAAACTTTAGTTACACATAATAAGGAAGGATGTCATGAAGAGTACGAGGGGAAGAAAAAGCTTGTGGTGCAGATGTTATCCCCATAGAGATTTGGAAATATGTTGGAATAGTATAACTTATCAAGCTATTTAATGCTATATATGTGATTGGAAGGTTGCCTGGGGAGTGGCGAAAGAATACATCGATCCAATATATTAGAAAAGAGATTCAAAGTTGTGCGATTAAACATGGCATTGAAATTATAAGCCATATGATAAATTTTTAAATGACAGAGCATAAACGTGGGGACACTAAAAGAATGCCAGAGAGCCAATTTAAGTTATGCCTAGTAGATCTTTAGTGCAGGCTATATATTCTTAAGAAGATTGATGAAACTTTATAGGGAGATGGAGGACTGACATATGGTATTCACTGGCCTAGAGACAAAGCTTGTGATACAGTGCCAAGAAAAGTCCTTTGATGATGCCATATAGAATTTGCATTGACGGAGGCACGGAGCTGTTTATTATAGGAATAGTGGTTGGACATACAAAGGATTTCCTGTAATTGTCACCAGGGATATGCATTGGGCTGGTAGTTGGTGCTTGCTTACCCATTATGTACGTAGGATGGGCTCCCATGCTGCATTTTGTAATAGAAGACAGAATTTACGCGTTGCATGTTTAGCCGTCATAAGAATGTGAAGGTGATGTGGGATTAGATGGAACTGAATGCTTAAACACAAAGAATACAGATAACTAGGCTCAACATTCGATGAGAATGTTATTATAGATGAAGATGTAGCACATAATCAAAATAGGATGGTTGAAATGGAGCAGTGCTATTGGAGTGTTTTCCCACAAGATGATATCTACAAAAGTGAAAGACAAGTTCTAAAGAACGGTTGTAAGACTGACAATGTATATGAGAGTGAATGTTGGCCCTTTAAGGTCTAATATATCCAGAAGATGAATTTCGCATAATGCGGATATTTAGATGGATGAGCAGAATTAGAAATGATCATATTCGTCAGTAACTGCAAGTAGCGCACACAAAAAATAAAATGAGAATGTCACTTGATTGTTTGATCTTATGGATGTGCGCTATTACAAGATTAGACAAAATTGGAAATGCAGTATTCGGCAGAGAGTGCAAGCAACACACTTAGGATAAAATAAGAGAATGTCGCTTGAGATGCATTGGTCCGTAGGTGTCTATCCATGGTGATTAAAAGTATTAAAAGAGCACGAGGTAAACCAAAGATCACATGGAAGTTGTCTAGAAGATTTCTAATATCTTAAAATTCATACAGAGTTAGGGTACAACAGAGTACAAAATAAAATAAAAAAAGATTCACATAGGTGGCACCAATTAGTTGGAATCAAGGCTTAGTTATGTTGGTACGCTTCTTTAAGTCCAGTTCTTCGGTAGTGTCTCTTAGCCTTCTTATGAAGTTTCCATTCCGATAGAAATTGTAGAGAATTTCTGGTGTTGGACAGCCTAAAATCGTGAATATTGGATTGAGACGGGTCCAAGTGAAGGGACATGGTTGTGGTTATTCATATTACCGATCCAACTAGCTTGGGATTGAGACATAGTAGTCTTCTGCTCTTTCTTAGTCCATTTGAGCTTGCATCGAGTCTTTCAAGCTCCGGGCATCACCCATACTACCACAAGCATTCTGAGAAACACATTGAATTTGCCAGATGAATCTGCAATGTTAATAAGTGTTTGACTAATCACTGTTTTCCACAAAAGTAGCATATACTGCATAATTCCATATGCCTTGTTTGAAATATTATCATGTGTACAGGAAGCCTCATGGAGTGTTATCTGTCCTAATCCAGCCACTTTTGTTGGTGCATCATATAATGTGCTAAAACTTCCATGGCCACTGATACTCTCCTAGTGCTGCCTTCAACAACCACTCATAGCTTGATTAAGCTGATAAAACCCTATCCCTTTAGCCATCTATTGCATTGAGTCTAGTTTATTGTCCTCTAGCTCCATATCTTTGAATCTGGAAATTAGTAGACTGACACTCAACTATTCTGTCCGTTGGCTATGAACTCAAGGGGATTTATGCTCATGTTTTTTTTTATCAGTGTTATTAAAAGCCCTCGCTTCATCGCTTAAAGCGATGCAAATCAAGGAGGTGTTGTTCTTCATTGAAGTGTGCGCTTCAAACAATGACGCATAAAGTGATCCAAACTAAAACTGAATTTTTTCTTTAAATTTCAACTTTGAGGAGCTGATACATTGTCCTATATTGGATGGTGAAATAAGTCAGTCTAGTTATAATTTGATTGTTATAGTACTAAATTCATATTTGTTTTTATATGTTTTTGTTTTTCCATAAATTGTGCGCTTCACTTCAAGGAAGCATGTTGCTTCACTTTTCGCTTTTCGCTTCAAACCCTGTGATTCTGTTGTGTTCTTCTGCACTTTTCGCTTTTTGGAGCACTGCTTTTGATTATATTGCAGTTGTTTATCTGTTTTGGGTCTATGTCGTATATTTCATTTTTGGGTCTAGGAGAAGTTTATAATGGCATTTTATGTGAACTCGAGGAAAGTCATTGATGTTCCAGATAAAACAGAAAGTCTGACGTCATTTGTTAACATGCAGATACACTACAAGAAAGGCATCGAGATGCTGAAAGTATTCAAGAATTATGCATCAAGGACATCTTTACTAGATGACTTCATGTATTATGAAACTAGGCAGATGATCCTGCAGGAAGAGAAAGCCAAGTTGCTAATGAGGAGCTATAAAAATCCATTTCTTGTGCCTGTATTAGATCCTCCACGCAAGCTAAATTCTATTTTTGATTTCCCTTCCCGTGAAGGTGAGACAATATCTAAGCACAATGATTCCGAACAATCTGAAATTTGTGCAGTTCCTGCAGAACTGGATTTGAAAGATTCCAAAACCAACAGGGGGAATGCAAGTGATGGTGACAAATTCGTGGTAGATGGAGATCCCAATACTGGGAGTGTGTTGAGGATTGCTTCCTTAGCAATCAATCCAAAGGACTTGAAATCTCAGCCCCCAGAAGCTGAATGCTCTACTGCTATCACTCTGGCAAGTGGGGAGTCGGTTGATGTTGTCACTGTGGGGTCTATGCCAGTAAACGTTAATGGATTTGCTGAATCTTCTGGTTTTATATCAATTGGAACAATTCCACTGGACCCTAGAGCTCTCCAGCGTGACAAGGCAAGTGGATCTGGAAAAATTGTTCCCAAGTGATGCAAGCATAATGTCCAGAAGCATTGAACAGAGTTATTTTCCAGCTGTGTATTATAATATTGGTGCGCTCATAGTTGATCTGCAGTCACTTTTCTGAGGAATTATGTGTTCATTTACCTTTTCCTCAAGGGTGCGGTGGAGGTTCTAATTTTAGGTTGTGTTGGAGTCGGATGGTTGGCAGAGATTTTGCTTTAAATACAATGTAAGTTGTCCCTTTTGTCATTTTGTTTCAACAAATTCAGGATATGAAATCCTGTCCTCGTCATTATGAGGAAACAAAGAAAAATAGATATATACTCAGCACAATTTTTTCTTTATTTGCTGTATACTTTTGAGTGGAAAACAGAAATACGTCCCCTCTATCTCTCGAGAAAAAGAAAAAGTAAAAACAGAACTTTTCCATTTGCAGCTCATTAATGGACAAATGTAATTCTTCTTTACTTCTTTGCTGAATGAAATTTTAGACCTTCTCATGATGTTATGCAGGACAGTGCAACTGCTGCTGATGGGAATGCGTCCAATGAAATTTGTGATTGGTCATTTGCCCAAAGCAACCTCAAAACTTAGGGCATTTTAATTGCAATAAACGCGTTTAGTTATTCAAATTACAATATTGCAACAAATTATAATTCTTCTGTAATCCGCCCTTGTCCCAGCTGTCGTATCCGCTCAGTTATTTCACTTGTTGATGAGGATGATGAAGTCTCCCCCCGTGATGGGGACCTAAGGCCCCACAAGAGGAAGGCTATTGATGTATTTGGGNAGAGACGGCGAAGATATTCATCGGAGACAATGTTGGGGTGACTTCTGAGGCCTAACAACGGGAAGACGCGAATACGACATGCTGGTGTGTCCCGAGGAGGAGATGGTCGTGGAGAGGACACTTGGTGACATCTCCGTGTTTGCGAGGCAGGAGGAGGCTTCATCTTCCAGGGCGGCAACGGATGCTTCTCCGCGGCAGTCGAGGACAGAGGAAAGGACGTCATCGATGAGGGCGATGAGTCAGGTTCCGACATGGACCCTGACGATCTTAGGATGATCGATGAGGGGCTCACTCAAATCGAGGTGATGATTAAGGGAGGCTCTAGGACTATCACTATCCCAACGGATCGTGATTTGTTGCGAAATACCGAGGAGGTGCTCCCTGCTCTCGGTTCTCTCTGCTCCGATGCCGAGGGCGTCACCCTAAAGGAGATAACTGACAGTACCCTGTCAAAGAACATTGTCGATCTCGCTCTCAGTGTAAGTATGGTTGTTGTCTGTTCTTTTCCTTTTGCTTTAACTTATTTTTAAGTTCTAACTTTCGCCTTTTCTTTGATTTGCAGACGCTCATTTTGGAAATTGAGAGTGCTCGGAGGGAGAAGAGACGTAAAGAAATTTACGTGAAGTTGAAGGGTATTTACGAAAAGTACCATAGAAAGTACGGGACCTTCGGAGGCAACTTCGCGAAGAGAGTGACGTACCGGCCTTGAGAGAAGAACTGAAGAAAAAGGATGAAAAGCTCATGGCGGCAGTGGAGAGGTTCAACGTTCTTGAGGGAGCATTGAAGAGAAAAGAAGAACTCGAGCTAAGTAAGGGTGTGTAGGCCCAATGCAGCGATCTTCAAACTCGGCTGGTTTAACTGCGAAGCCAGTTGGACGGGTGCCAGCTCGAAATCGACACTCTCAGGGGTAGGTCGTCGCGAAGCAATAGTTGCTCGAGCAGGCGGAGTCTTCCCGACTAGATGCTCGGAGAAAGGTTGACATCCTCAAGCTAGCGAATAGGACTCTCCCCTCTGGGCGGGATAATGTTTTGTCAACGGCTAGAGCTAAAGAGGAACGACTTGAGGAGAGGATTGGGGAGCTGGACAAGGAAAACTCTGAGCTGCATGATCGAGTTGTTGCTCTTGAGGCCGAGAAAGCCCAGCTGCTTGCGCGACCCTTTTCATCTAATGCTTCTGAGTATCCTAACATTCCTCGGGAGCTGTACGAGGAGTGGATCCACGTTGAGGCGCGACTGGATGTGCTCCGTGATTTGAATACGGTGGGATCTATTTTTGAGACAGCCCTCGAGGATGCTCGAGTCAAAGCTCGTGAGGCTCGGCTCGCTTGTGATTATGATCATGCTACACCCCAACCTGGTTCCGAGGAGGATGAGGATAAGGGTGTGGACCGGCTTGCGGACGGTGCTTGGTTTGACTCCGCTTAAGGTCAAGGCAAGGATGAAGAGGGCGTCGAAGGTCGGGATGGTGATGGCCACTTGTTTTTGTTTTAACTTCTTGTATTTTATTTGTTGGTGTCTTCGTGCGGTTTTTGTTAGAACTCTTCGTCTGAATACCAAAGCTGTCTTTTGTTTTATACGCACCTTTTTCATTCCTGCATTTTGTTTCTGTACTTGCATGTTTTACTTTTGTACTTGCATATTTTGCTTCTTTATTCCCTTTGCTTTTATCCTCTAGATGGCCGTAGCCGTTGGGCCGAATAGCCGTATGCCGCATCGGCTCTTTGTTTGAATAAGTCGAGTATGTCTCTTAGTTGAGATGTGGCCACGGATCGATAGGTGTTTTTCGATTTTGTCGAACATACCTTTAAGTTAAATTGAGGTCGGGGGCCGATAGGTGCTGTTCGAGCTAGTCGAGCGTTCTTTTAAGTTAAGTCGAGGCTAGAGGCCAATAGGTGTTGTTCGAGCTTGATCGAACTTAACCATTCATTAGGTTGTAGCCAAGGGCCAATAGGTGTTGTTCGAGCTTGGTCGAACTTAACTGTTCATTAGAGTAGTTTCGATAAATGTGAATTTCTATTTCTTTGACGTTGTTTATGATTACATTATTTTGCCCTTGGGCAATTTTTGGAGAAAGTTACAAGTTTTGGGTGTAGCCAGTCCCAATATATCTAGTGTCTTCATTGTTCGACTTGGAGAATCTTGACAAATATAGACCGTTATAAATGATATTAAATTTGACATTTAACATACATATAGTTTCTTGAAAATATATTAATTGCTAATCATGTATTTGTAATATTGTAAAGATAATTGACAAATAATTTATAAATTAATTAAAAAAACTAAAAGTACATATTTTTGTAAGAATATCCTGGACCACAGGTTTGATAAAAAGATTAATATTTAAAAATATAACGTCATAACATTACTCAAATATTTTAAGAAAAAATAATCTATCAATTCTAACAGAAAAATGAATGACGTGCAATCTGAATTAATAAGTTAATACTACTAGAGCAAATAAAATAGAATTAAAAAATATAACATAAATTTAAAATCCAAAAAAATTAACATAATACTCTTATGTAATATTGCAACATAATATAAAATAAGTTTCAAAATAATTTAAGTAAATATAATTCAACAGAAAAGGAAGACATAAGTTCTGTAACCTCATTCAATAATGAGATTTTACTTTAATGATATCACTCATTATTAGCCAAATTTATTAATGACTCAGTGTTTCTACTATTATAAGGTGTAGTTTCAAAATTAGAATAATAGTATAATTATGGTAAATGAAGAAAATAAAAAAAATAAAAAAATATGAGCAACTACATGGAATGACAAAAAATAAAAGTTGAAAAATGAGAATATTATTTAAATGTTAAAAGCTAATCTATCATCTTAACATAGTTAAGTTTGCATATAACCTCATCCAATAACAAAGTTCAACTTTAATGACAAGTTTGTAAATGACTCATTCTTTCTAAAATTACGAGGTATAATTTTTTAGAAAAATAGAATAATAACATAGCTAAGTATGATTAAAAAAAATAATTACAAAGAAATAAAATATGAAAAATTATATAGAAACACGTGAAGTAAAGGTTGGTAAATGAACAATATGGAAATAAAAGATAAATAATGTAAAAAGAATAATATATGAAAAAAAGAATTAAAAAAGTTAGAATAAAAAATAAATTAAAAAGAAAAAAATAGAAATAAAAAGTAAATTTAAAGGAAAAGAAAAGAGATTCAGAAAATAACCTTGTAATTACACCATCATGTAATAACCATCAATTCTCAACCCCCCTTAAATTGCAGAGTGTAATTCCCCTCAATTACATTCAATTACATGCTGATCAAATAATTACTTGTTTAGATAAATATATCAAAACTATCTAATTACAATCAATTATATCCAAATTTAATTACAGCGTGACTTTCTAAACAAGCCTTAAATCTACCTACAGAATCCCAATACTTCTTTGCTGGTGAAGTTAGTTCTCTGCTTCATCAAAGCCCTTCGCTAATGGAAAAATATTTTATTGGAGGTTGCCTGGGACTAACATTATTTCCTTTGATCTGAAAACAAAAGTATAAAGTTAGTGGTGGTTGTCCGTATTTTTCCTATGCCTCCTAAATATTTTGGCTAGTTCCAAACTTTGGCGAATATGAGATTCTTTCTTATGCCTGTCCTCTTTTTATTACTTCTATAAGTTATTAAAAAAAAGTTACAGAATGTAGACCCATATATTAATTAGTACATTCTTTGTTTTTAATCTCAAATTGAAATATTTGGTTTACTATTTTAAAAGAGGAACCTATTTAGCATTTTATATGGTTACAAAATGTGAAAAGTTGGGTATTCTTGCACCTTTTTTATTTTTGTGATTTCTCAATGCTCAACTTCACATTTTATTAAAAAGAGTTATGATATGATTTCACTTTTAGTTAAATTGATAGTTTCTATCTATCATAGATGTTTTAGAGATAAGAAGAATATATGTTGTAAGAAACTTGTCAGTAGAAAATGTTATTGTTTGACCCAAAATCTAGATATAGGTTTAAACAATTACATTTTCTAATAGAAAAGAGTTAATCTTAGCTAGTATTAATATCCAAAAAGATCGTTTAACTGGTTTCGTTGCAAAATGTCGCAAGTTTAGTTTTCTTAGCAATAAATGTGCAACGATGGACAATATTTAATAGCCCAATAACAAAAAGAATAGCATTGAATAGTAATAATGATATACAATGGTATTTATATAAATACATGTAAGTGAGGTAACCGAAAAAGGGCGAAATTCTGTGATATTCTTTCTTGACAATGATAAATGACTGATGTACCTTTGAATATTCGGATTCTTCTTTGATCGGGAGAGGGAGGTTAGACACAGATTTGGAGAAAAGGTTATGCAGTAAAGCATGAATCTGTAAAGAATGTCGATTTGTTGTTCCTTACAATGAGTGTCCAATCCCTCTCTGTACCTACATATCTTTCTATTTATAAAGGCACATGGACCACAAAAAACCCTAATAGTACGGAAGGGAGGAATACCCCCTAAACTATTCTCTATAATATCTTCTCTCTAAAACTAACCGTTACTGCCCTTTTAAAAGGAGTGCTCGTCCTTGTCCCTCTACCGAGTCAGCTCGACCTCGTTTTCATTCTCGTCCGATCACTTTGACCTTGTCTTCGTACTTTGTTGAAAACACATTGATGACGTGTGGTAGCCTTCGAAGGTTCTCTTAATGTTGACTCACCTCACACATAACTAGGATAATTTTTAGCCCATAAAGTTAGTCCCTCCGCTTGATGAGATCGTCTTTGTGGGCGAATTCAATGAGAAAATAATAGAATCCATGGTTGTCTTCGGGGTCGAGTTCGTTGAACACATAATGACGGTCGTGATCGTTGTGACAAGTAGGCGACGTGGCTTTTTGTAGGCCGCATATTTTAAACCCTTAAATTTCTCGGGTGATTCGCTGGAACCATCTGGTGCAAGAGAAGGAGACGTCATGATGTCATTGTGGGTTCTACATTTCAGTACCAGAGAAGTTAAGGAAACAATGTTTGATTCACATAAGGTCTCTTCAAAGTGGACATTTTGGCTGTGGTACTATTGGATGCTGAAGAGGGAATACAATGGCGTATGGGCTTAGGATGACGTGGTCTTATACTAGGATTTCTTGTGGCAAGTTGAGGATTGTGGTGTTCTGGCAAGGGAAAGTGTTAATTTGAAGGCAATTGAAAAGAACTCAGGAAATAGGACAGCTTGGTGGTAGATCGGATCAACATGATAATGGGTTTAATCTGTTCTTTTGGTTCTTATGATGTGGTGAGTCTCTACAGGTGTTTGTGGCAATACTCTTGAGTTTGGCGACCTAAATGACTTAGTTGAGTTAGAGTGATTCAGTTCTGATGGCTTGGTTATATGCATATGGGTTCTGTAGAGTTCTCGACGATTTCTACCATGGTTTGAGATGGATATTTTTAACTAGCATGAAGAGTATGTTGCGCGTGGTGATTTTCTCCTAGATGGGATCAAGTGGAAGGTTTCTGACTGATCGAGTGTGTATTCTACTTATGGCTCAGAGTTGATAATGGGGTTCTTGTATTTTCATATGATGGCATGATAGATGGAGTGCATCGTATTGAGGGTTGCATGTACTAAGTTGCAGTCCAGATTTTAAGGGAAGGTCATGAGTCTTAGACAGTATGGATGATTTCAAATGCTTAGATGAATGCTAGTACTACATGGTAATTCCTAAGAAGGGTGCGCATTTCAGAAGGCGCACTATGTTTGACTTGCGGATGCTTCATTGGTATTGTGGTACTCGCCTGGTTGTTCGACGACTGATATTCAGATTTTGATATGTGGCGCAGATAATTATAGAAGTATTTCTCGTGGGATGATTGTGTATGATAGATGTGTTAGTCATTGGGGTAGTGGAGTTGGGATCGACTATGATGATTCATATGTTTATGGATTTGAGACTGAGAGTTCTCATAAGCAGATTGTTTCGTCGTTTCGGACAGTGAGGATTTGGACAAAGTTAGCCAGATGGTAGCACAAGTTATGGTTAAGTCATTGTGGACTTTTGGCGGGCTATTTATCCATTTGGAGATGACCAAGGTTGATTTGAGGGCCTATGTATAGGCCCAATGAGGAAGTGTATTCTACACCGGGTCGGATTTGTTGACTCAACACTGTGATTGTTGAGAGATATGTCATTCGGTTAGAGTTAAGCTTGTTCGTGTTACGATATGTTATATGACTTTCTCTTCTATGCTACAATGGGTTGATATCTGTTGGTTATTTGCACATATGATGCGGTTCTGTTTTGGGCCTTGTGGCGAAATTCGAGAGAGATGGTGTCATGACCCGAATTTCCCACCTTCGAGGCCGTGATGACGCCTAACATTGAACTTGCTAGGCAAGCCAACGTCACAGTTTATTATACCTTTTTCCTTTATCTATCAGATATAAGTGATTTAGCAAGATGAATTAACAGAAATAAATGCGGAAGAAACATTTTGAAAGCTTAACTTGAACATTAACAAAATCCGAAATGACATCTACCCAGAACTGGAGTCACAATTCACGAACTGTTTACGATTACTACA